GAGAAGGTATAAATCACCAGGTAGTGATCAAATCCCGGCAGAACTTATTCAAGAAACAGGTGAAATATTACGTTCTAAGATCCAAAAGTTAATTAATTCTATTTGGAATAAGGACAAATTGCCTAATTAGTGGAAGGAGTCTATTATTGTACAAGTTCACAATAAGGGTGACAAAGCGGACTCTGGTAATTATCGTGGGATATCACTGCTTCATACACAATTTTATCCAATATTCTTCTCTCAAAGTTAAGTCCATATATAGATGAAATTATTGGTGATCATCAGCTTGGGTTTCGACGTAACAGATCAAGTACTGATCAGATCTTTTGTATTCATCAGATACTGAAGAAAAAATGGGAGTTCAATGAAACAGTACATCAGCTATTCATAGCCCTCAAGAAAGCCCATGATTCAGTTAGGAGGAAAGTACTGTACAATATTCTCAGAGAGTTTGGGGTACCCATGAAACTAGTTTGGCTGATTAAAATGTGTTTAAGCGAAACATATAGTAAAGTCCGTATAGGTATACATTTACCTATAACTTTCTTATCCGGATTAGTCTAAAACAAGGAGAAGCTTCTTTTTCGCATAGTGGGGGATTGAGTGCAGCTNACAGTACATCAGCTATTCATAGCCCTCAAGAAAGCCCATGATTCAGTTAGGAGGAAAGTACTGTACAATATTCTCAGAGAGTTTGGGGTACCCATGAAACTAGTTTGGCTGATTAAAATGTGTTTAAGCGAAACATATAGTAAAGTTCGTATAGGTATACATTTACCTATAACTTTCTTATCCAGAATGGTCTAAAACAAGGAGAACCTTCTTTTTCACATAGTGGGGGATTGAGTGCAGCTGGGTTCACTTGGCACAGCGGCCACTGATTGGCCTATTGTACCTGAAGGAAAAGCTTTATCGCCACTGCTTTTTAACTTTGCTTTAAAATATGCCATCAGTAAGGCACAGGAAAACCAGGTGGGACTGAAATTAAATGGAACACATCAGCTGTTAGTCCATGCTCATGATGTGAATCTACTGCGTGATAACTTAGATACCACACAGAAAAACACAGAAAATATAATTGACGCTATCAAGGAGGTTGGTCTATAAGAAAACACAGGGAAAAATAAGTACGTATATGTTGCTATCTCGTCAGCAGAATGCAGGACAAAATCACGACATAAAGACAGTTAACAGAAGCTTTGAAAATGTGGCGCAGTTCAGATATTTGGGAACAACTATAACAAATTAAAACCTGACTCAGAAGGAAATTAAGAGGAGGTTAAATTCGGGTAATTCTTGTTACCATTCAGTGCAGAACATTTTGTCTTCACGTCTGTTGTCAAAAAACATAAAAATAAGAATATGCAAGACTATAATTTTGCCTGTGGTTCTGTATTTATGTGAAACATGCACTCTGACATTAAGGGAGGAGCACAGACTGAGGGTGATGAGAACAGGGTATTGAAGAGAATATATGTACCGAAGAGAGACGAAGAGACGGGAGATTGGAGAAAACTGCGTAATGAGGAGCTTCATAATTTGTTCTCTTCGCCAAATATTGTTAGAATGATCAAGCGAAGGAGGATGAGGTGGGCAGGGCGTGGAGCACGAACGGGAGAGAAGAGGAATACATATAGGATATTGGTTGGAAAGCCAGAAGGAAAGAGACCACTTGGAAGACCAAAGTGTAGGTGGGTGCATAATAATAAAATTAATCTTAAGAGAGATAGGATTGGATGGTATGAATTGGATAGACCCGGCTGAGGATAGGGACCAGTGGAGGGCTGTTGTGAAAACGGTAACGAACTTTCGGGTTCAATAAAATACTGGGAAATTCTTGAGAAGTTGCACAATTGGCAGCTTCTCAAGAAGTGCTGAGCTATAGGAGTGAGCGAAGAGTGATATTTTCGGTTTACTTAACGATATCAGCATCTCCGACCATGCAGCGTTGAACTGGGGGGACGATAATAATAAATCTGTAAGGTTCTGGAGGGAACCGGCCGTGGTCTTCTTCAAGATAATATTCCAGCACTTCCCTGGCGGACGGGAGAATAACACGAACACTTTCAGTCAAGACAGTAGATTCTAAAGTGTTCCCCCTTTTCTATCATAGTTCCAAGCATGTGCGTGCTTCATCACAATGTTTATTGTATATTTTCTTGTTATCTCCCGCCAGATTAGTCTGCTCTCAAATGATTAAATAGCTTAGTGAATCTGATAGGAGTTGTCCAGTGAGTGAGATTAGCCTTTTCTAAGGGTCCCAACCGAGCGTCTCCCCCATCACCTGAGGACGGGAAGTGACACAGTTTCCGAAACATCAAGTTTTCTATTTTCTAGAATACCGGACGATGGAAAACGTCCAAAAACCCAATAATTCTGTCAGATAGTTAGTGTCTCGACAGAATGTCGAATCGAGAACTTCCAGAACGCAGAACCGCACGAGCAAAGTTGCTTGGTTTAAAAGTGTCTGCCTGAGGGAATTCAAAATGCAGTTTGCAACAAAAGTACAAAAGTATGTGCTCAAGAATAATAAAGAAAGACCCTGAACATGCTGTCATTAAAGCAGCTGGCCTGTCTGTAGTGACTGCAACTGCAGTGGACATGAGTTATGTTTTCAGAAGAGCGAATCGTGAATTTCATTCAAGGTATTATATACTAAGATCCTATACAGTATACCTTCTCGTATAAATTGTAATCTAAATTCAGACTGCAAATTGGTCTTCCAGCGTTCTTGTATTTCTTGACGTCAAACTGCAAATTCGTTTTACTACCAACTTAATTTAATGGCGCCTTAATTACCCTTCTTCATAAACTGGAATAGTGCCAAATTCCTTCAAAATAAAAGTTTACTCATCCACGTTAAAGTTGAGTGGATAGGCTTCAAGGTTTGGCAAGAGCCCTCAGCACTTTACACGCTGCTCAAAAGCAGTTTCAGCCCCTTTTAGAACGCCTGAATTTATTGGGCTCATATATTCTATTATAACACTGTCGAGCCAAAGGTCATATCTCGACTGAAACTTCTGTGTTATTTTGCTTCAGAAATTAATAGCGCAGTACCTGAATACACAGCTTTCTTGACATAGCCGAATGAATCCTCTGTGTGTTACATTACACAGTGGATGGCAATCGAGCGAATTATTACAAAGTAGTAAAGAGTTATTGTTCCATTGTGTTATATTTTCTATGAATGAAATGTAAGAAAGAATACTTACACTTAACACAACTCACAATATATTTTCTTACACTGAATTCCATTTATATTCAGAGAACGGTTCATTTATTGAAACGTGGAACATTTTGAATATGTAAAATTGTAAAGTTATCCCCATAACAGACCGTGAAGGCACTTATGGATGTGAGACGTCGAGGCTCCCACATTTTTTCTAGACAATCGACTCACAGATGGCGGTAAGATTGTCAGCCTTCAGCGCCGGCCGCCCGTCATTAACTTCCCAGGAAGACTCCTGGTATTCATTTCTGTTAGAGGCTGAGTCGACCCCTGGGCCACAGTGCAGCTGGAAGGGATAGGTCAACTGAAAATATCCACCTCATCGGGACTCGAACCCGCGTCCTTCCGGCTTCTAGTATAATGCCTCAACCAACTATATTCTAGAACTGGAATTTTAAATACTTTAAGAGAATATATAAGCGAGCACATCGCTTTAAAGGCACATGGAGTGAGTTAGGTTTAGACATAATAATAACCGAGACCCTATGTCGGCCTGTATCATCTTCATCAGCCTCTTCACCCTTCTGGAAACAGCACCTAGAACCCATTATTTAAAAAGCGTGACAGATCCCAACAGTTTGGTGAATCTGTCCACACCTGCCTGATAACATATTATGTAACCTATAGTCCACCACATTACTGGCTGATCTGTCCCATCTATAACATTAACATATGAAAAATGTACTCATTGCTGCCACCTTAAACATCAATTCATCTGCGTAAAGAGGAATTTTAATATAATAATTACAATCTACTCTCGATAATATGGAGTAATAAGTAAATTTGTTCTATGTATAATCCACAGATGATACTCTGACAGGCCCTGTAGAGGAATGGTGAGCCTAAAGAGAATAAGACAGAAATAGGACACGCCGAAACTAAACAAGAAAAAGAATAAAACATACGAGTATCCTAATTATGACCGTTGTGTTCCCAGAACAATGAAATTTTCTGAAGTCGTACTCCTCACTTCACTGCTACCTGTGCAAAGCATCAGTCCAGTGAGAAAGGCCTGCATCGGAAATTTGTCTCAAACAAAGCTGAATATATAATTTTCGTAATAAAGTTGCATAACGATCCAGGATATGTCAGTAAAGCAACTGGGCAATTTCTGGACAGCTAGGTTTCTAATCTTGGTAGAGCAGAGACTTTTCTCTTCGTCCCTATGCAGAGAGCTTCCTACTCGAAGGGGAGGGGGGGTTCGGTGGACCCTCCTTCGGTTAAAAAAATCGGCCTGAGTTGCCCAGTCACTTGCATCAAGTGACGAAGTATACAGTGCTTGAACACCAGTCCACGAATGAAGCCATATCAGTGTATTCACTTACGCTTCTAAATTAACAGTTATTCCTCTTCTCAAGGTGACGGCAAGCACAAGTCCTCGAGTGTCCCGGGAAAAAGTGTCGCCATGATTTTTCTGCCGAAGACTGAATTTCTTCTAACTCGGAGAATTACAATAGTCTACATACACTTGCGTCTTCAATGTTCAGCCAGAGTGAGAACTGCGTTATAGC